GGAGGAGGATGAGGACTAGGAGGACGAGGAGGAGGAGGAGGATGAGGATTAGGAGGAAAAGGCCGAAGCCGGCGAGGAAGAGGAGGAGGACTGCGAAGAGTAGGAGGAGGAGGAAGAGAACGAGGATGACGAGGGGGAGGAGGGCGAAGAAGCGGCGGAGGAGAAGCAAGAGGAGAGGGAGGAGGAGGAGCAGGGAGGAGGAGGGAGGAGGAGGGAGGAGGAGGGATCAGGTGGCGGCAAAAGGGCGGTCGGACAAGGAGGGCGCCGAGTGATAGGACCGAGAGGCAGGCAGCAAGGCTTTTTTTTGTTTTTTCAATCAATCAATCAACCAATCAATAAAAAAAGCGAGAAGAAGTATCCAATCGATTCGAAATCGGTCAGTAATTTTTTTCGATTTTTTTTTTTACGACTGATAGGCTGTTTGATAGATTCATTGGTTGATTGATTGATTGATTGATTGGCTTGGATATTCCAATCGAGTCAGTGATGATGCAGAGATCTGCTCGCACTTGGGGAAGTTACCGACGCCACCCGGGTGCACGTGCGTAGTGTAGACACGATCTGCCATTTGTAGTCTGGGCGGTGAGCGCCAATTGTGGGATCAAGATTTGGTTCATCGGTTGTGTATCTGCATTGCCCAGCAGCCAACGTCGTGAGATATCCGATTCTGGGCACCACCACTACCACACCTGGAAATGGCATCCAAAGGTACAGTACAAAGTCCCTTTGTTATGCGTGTGTGTTGTATGCTTTCATTTGTTCGATTGTCACTCTGAAGGCCGGACGCCGGACCCTCCGATGGACCGGCGCCTCGACGTATGCCGCTGTCGTATCTGTTTTTGTTCTTATCGCGGATGCTGTTGTTGTTTCAACTGTTGTGGCAGCTGTGTTTGCAACTGCAGCTGTTGCAGCGATGCTGCTGGTTCCTCCGATGGTCCGGTTTCGCGGAGGGTCTGGCGCCTCGACGACCCTGGATCCTCCGGTGGCCCGGCGCCTCGACAACCTCGGACCGTCCGATGGTCTAGTGTCGTCGAGGCGCCGGACCCTTCGACGCTCTGGCGCCTCGACGACGCCGGACCACAGTGGGTGCAGCTGTTGCTGATGTTGTTGCTGGTGCAACTGCTGCAGGTGCTGTTCAAAACCGCTGGTGCAACTGCTGTTGTACGATACCGCTATGGGGTTGCTGCTATTCGAAACCGTGCCAGGCCATCCGATGGTCTGGCGCCGTCAAGGCGCAAGACCCTCCGATGGTCTGGCGTCGTCGAGACGCCGGACCCTCCAATGGTCTGGCGTCGTCGAGACGCCGGACCCTCCAATGGTCTGGCGTCGTCAAGGCGCCGAACCCTCCAACGCGCCAGACCCTCCAATGGTCTGGTGCAGCTGCTGCTGCTGCTGTTCGATACCGCTATGTTGCTCATGGTGCAGTTGCTGCTGCTGCTGCTGCTGTTCGATACCGCTATGGGGTTGCTGCTGTTCCAAACCGCGTCGGACCCTCCGATGGTCTGGCGTCGTCGAGGCGCCGGACCCTCCAATGGTCTAGCGCCTCAACGACGCCGGACCATAGTGGGTGCAACTGCTGTTGATGTAGTTGCTGGTCCAACTCCTGCTGATGCTGCTGTTGTTCCATATCGCTATGTTGTCGTTGGTGCAGCTGCTGCTGCTGCTGTTTGATACCGCTATGGGGTTGCTGGTGCAGCAGCTGCTGCTGATGCTGTTCGATACGGCTATGGGGTTGCTGCTGTTCCAAACCGCACTGGACCCTCCGATGGTCTGGCGTCGTCGAGGCGCCGGACCCTCCAATGGTCTGGCGCCTCGACGACGCCGAACCATAGTGGGCGCAGCTGCTGCTGCTGTTCGATACCGCTATGCTGTCGCTGGTGCAGCTGCTGCTGCTTCTGTTCGATACCCCCATGTTGCCGATGGTGCAGCTGCTGCTGCTGCTGTTCGATACCGCTATGGGGTTGCTGCTGTTCCAAACCCCTCCAGACCCTCCAATGGTCTGGCGTCGTCGCGGCGCCGGACCCTCCAATGGTTTGGCGCCTCCACGACGCCGGACCATAGTGGGTGCAGCTGCTGCTGATGTTGTTTCTGGTCCAACTATTGCTAATGCTGCTGCTGTTTAATACCGCTATGTTGTCGCTGGTGCAGCTGCTGCTGCTGCTGTTCGATACCGCTGTGTTGTCGCTGGTGCAGCAGCTGCTGCTGCTGCTGCTGCTCGATACCGCTACGGGGTTGCTGCTTTTCCAAATGGCGCCGGACCCTCTGATGGTCTGGCATCATCGAGGCGTCGGACCCTCCAATGGTCTGGCGCCTCGACGAGGCTGGACCATAGTGGGTGCAGCTGCTGCTGATGTTGTTGTTGGTCCAACTGCTGCTGATGTTGCTGCTGTTCCATACCGCTATGTTGTCGCTGGTGCAGCTGCTGCTGCTGCTGTTTGATACCGCTATGTTGTCGATGGTGCAGCTGCTGCTGCTGTCGCTGTTTGATGCCGCTATGGGGTTGCCGCTGTTCCAAACCACGCCGGACCCTCCGATGGTCTAACGTCGTCGAGGCGCCGGACCCTCCAATGGTCTGGCGCCTCGACGACGCCGGACCATAGTGGGTGCAACTGCTGTTGATGTTGGTGCTGGTCCAACTGCTGCTGATGCTACTGCTGGTCCATACCGCTATGTTGTCGCTGGTGCAGCTGCCGCTACTGCTGTTCGATACCATTGTGTCGTCGCTGGTGCAGCAGCTGTTGCTGCTGTTTGATACCGCTATGGGGTTGCTGGTGCAGCTCCTGCTGCTGCTGCTGTTCGATACCGCTATGGGGTTGCTGCTGTTCCAAACCGCGCCGGACCCTCCGATGGTCTAGCGTCGTCGAGGCGACCGACCCTCCAATGGTTTGGCGCCTCAACGACGCCGGACCATGGTGGGTGCAGCTGCTGCTGATGTTGTTGCTGGTCCAACTGCCGCTGATGATGTTGCGGTTCCATACCGCTATTTTCTCGCTGGTGCAGCTGCTGCTGCTGCTGTTCGATACCGTTGTGTTGTCGCTGGTGCAACAGCTTCTGCTGTTGTTCGATGTCGCCATGGGGTTGCTAGTGCACCTACTGCTGCTGCTGTTGTTCAATACCGCTATGGGGTTGCTGCTGTTCCAAACCGTGCCGAACCCTCCGATGGGCTGATGCCGTCGAGGCGTCGGGCCCTCCAATGGTCTGGCACCTCGACGACGCCGGACCATAGTGGGTGCAGCTGTTGTGGATGCTGTTGCTGGTCCAACTGCTGCAGCTGCTGCTGCTGTTCGATACCGCTATGTTGTCACTGGTGCAGCTGCTGCTCCTGCTGTTCAATACCGCTATGTTGCTGATGGTGCAGTTGCTGCTGCTGCTGCTGCTGCTGCTGTTCGATACCGCTATGGGGTTGCTGCTGTTCCAAACCGCGCCAGACCCTCCGATAGTCTTGCGTCGTCGAGGTGCCGGACCCTGCAATGGTCTGGCGCCTCGACGACGCCGGACCATGGTTGGTGCAACTGCTGCTGATGTTATTGCTGGTCCAACTGCTGCTGCTGCTGCTGCTGTTCCATACCGCTATGTTGTCGCTGGTGCAGCTGCTGCTGCTGCTGCTCGATACCGCTGTGTTGTCGCTGGTGCAGCAGCTGCTGCTGCTGTTTGATACTGCTATGGGGTTGCTGGTGCAGCAACGGCTGCTCCTGCTGCTCGATACCGCTACAGGGTTGCTGCTGTTCCAAACCGCGCCGGACCCTCCGATGGTCTGGCGTCGTCGAGGCGCCGGATCCTCCAATGGTCTAGCGCCTCGACGACGCCGGACCATAGTGGGTGCAGCTGCTGCTGATGTTGTTGCTTGTCCAACTGCTGCTGATGCTGCTGCTGTTCCGGGGTTGCTGGTGCAGCTGCTGCTGCTGCTACTGTTTGATACCGCTATGGGGTTGCTGCTGTTCCAAACCATGCCGAACCCTCTGATGGTCTGGCGTTGTCGAGGCGCCAGACCCTCCAATGGTCTGGCGCCTCGACGACGCCGGACCATAATGGGTGCAGCTGCTGCTGATGTTGTTGCTTGTCGAACTGCTGTAGCTGCTGCTGCTTCTCGATACCGCTATGTTGTCGCTGGTGCAGCTGTTGTTGCTGCTGTTTGATACCGTTGTGTCGCCGATGGTGCAGCTGCTGCTGCTGCTGCTGTTCGGTACCACTATGGGGTTGCTGTTGTTCCAAACCACGCTGGACCCTCCGATGGTCTGGCATCATCGAGGCGCCGGACCCTCCAATGGTCTGGCGCCTCGACGACGCCGGACCATAGTGGTTGCAGCTGCTGCTGATGTTGTTGCTGGTCCAACTGGTGCTGCTGCTGTTCGATACTGCTATGTTGTCGTTGGTGCAGCTGCTGCTGCTGCTGTTCGATACCGCTGTGTTGTCCCTGGTGCAGCAGTTGCTGCTGTTGTTCGATACCGCTATGGGGTTGCTGGTATAGCAGCTGCTGCTGCTGTTCGATACCACTATGGGGTTGCTGGTGCAGTTGCTGCTGCTGCTGCTGTGCGATACCGCTATGGGGTTGCCGCTGTTCCAAACCGCGCCGAACCCTCCGATGGTCTGGCATCGTCGACGCGCCGGACCCTCCGGTGGTCTGACGCTTCGACGACACTGGACCGTAGTGGGTGCAGCTGCTGCTGCTGCTGTTCGATACTGCTATGTCGCCGATGGTGCAGCTGTTGCTGCTGCTGCTGTTTGATACCGCTATGGGGTTGCTATTGTTCCAAACCACGCTGGACCCTCCGATGGTCTGGGGTCATCAAGGCGCCGGACCCTCCAATGGTCTGGCGCCTCGACGGCGCTGGACCATAGTGGGTGCAGCTGTTGTTGATGTTGTTGCTGGTTGAACTGCTGCTGCTGCTGCTGCTGGTCCATACCGCTATGTTGTCGTTGGTGCAGCTGCTGTTGTTGCTGTTCGATACCGCTATGGGTTTGTTGGTGCAGCAGCTGTTGTTGCTGCTGTTTGATACCGCTATGGGGTTGTTGCTGTTCCAAGCCGCGCCGGACCCTCCAATGGTCTGGCGTTGTCGAGGCGCCGGACCTTCCAATGGTCTGGCGCCTCATCGACGCCGGACCATAGTGGGTTCAGCTACTGCTGATGTTGTTGCTGGTCCAACTGCTACTGATGCTGCTGTTGTTCCATACCACTATGTTGTCGCTGGTACAGCTGCTGCTGCTGCTTCTGTTCGATACCGCTATGTTGTCGCTTGTGCAGCTGCTGCTGCTGCTGTTCGATACCGGTATGGGGTTGCTGCTATTCCAAACCCCGCCGGACCCTCCGATGGTCTGGCGTCGTCGAGGCGTCGAACCCTCCAATGGTCTGGCGCCTCGACGACGCCAGACCATCCGGGTGTTGTTGCTGCTGATGTTGATGTTGGTGCAACTTCTGCTGATGCTGCAGGGAATCATTGTCGACACCGTGCTGTTCGAAACCGCTGTCGGGTTGCTGATGATGATCTTGCAGGTGCGGCTGCTGCTGCCGCTACTGCTGCGGATGTTGTTCCTAGCGCAGCTGCTGCTAATGCTGTTCGATGTCACTACCGGGCTACTGCTTTTCGGAACGGCGCCAAGCATCGGCCTTGCACTGAACGATAGACGGCTTGTTGTCCGGATACACAGAGGATACACGGAGATAACAGGCAGAGGTCACACATATGTTACACAGAGGTTACACCCGGGTTGCACAAACCCTCCGACGGTCCGGCGTTGTCGGGGCGCCAGACCATCGGGGCCCCCGGCGGCACCAGACCCTCCTTCCTTCTCCTTCCTTTCCTTCCTCTTCCTCTTGCTCTCCGAGTGCTGTAACAGAGATTACAGGCAGAGGTTAAGCAGGGTCTGCCGCCTCGTGGTCGACGTTACACAGTGAGAGAGCTTATAGGCAGAGGTTGGAGAGTGTGAGAGATAACAGGCAGAGTTTGTGCCGGGATTGTACGTGGATGTTACACAGACATTACCGGCAGACGTTACACCGAGATTACGGGCAGTGGTTGAACAGGGCCTGCCGCCACGTCGTCGAGGTTACACAGTGCGACAGATTGCAGGCAGAGGTTGCACAGGCCCTCCGAGCCGCCGGACCATCGGAGGGCCCGGCGTCACCAGACTCTCCTTCCCTTTCCTCCTTCTTCCTTTCCTTCATCTTCCTCTTCTTCTTCGGATGCTGTGAGGGGGATGTTACAGACAAAGGTTACGCAGACATTACAGGCGTGTTGCTGTTGGATGCTGTGTTGGTGTTATGCAGCTGCTTGCTCGTCAGGGGTCTCAACGTCGAAGGTTGTCGGAAGGGCGGTCACGTTCCAAGAGAAGTATTAGGCGATCGATTGGCACCTCGGTATGAAAGTCCCCTGTTGCGGGCCATGCATTTTCTTGCGGGATGAGAGTGGTGGTTACTACCCGTGCGGGGGTATCAAGACTTACTCGTTGATAAGAACATGCCTGACGAGGAGTACATGAGATTCTATTTGACGACGTGTTTCGACAGCGACGGTCACCAGGTGACTGACAACTACAAGCTCGTGTCTCTCAAAGTCGACAAGTTCCAAGGTTATGGCATCCGCTTTGCATCAATGCCGCCGTTCGACAAGTCGAAGAAGAAGGATGCGTCGCAGATGGTGATGCTTACGCCGTTCGAGTTCCTCAAACGCATTAATTGCTATAAGGTGTCGAACCACATCGTGGCGATTGACAACAACCTGCAGTTGTCAACTCCCTTCGTGCCCTTCGACTGTGATCTTGGAGACTTCGCAGACATCGTGCGACGTCACAAGCTGCAGGCGATGGGCGAAGCCGTTTTGCGAACTACCGTATCTGTGAGCTCGCCGCAGGCGATAGGCAAGAGTTGTGGGGAGTCGAAAACATCCGCCCGTATAAGCAAAAGTGGGGCCGCATCGACACAGGCAAAGAGCGTGAGCAAATCAGCATCTCTGCTCCAGCCAAAGGGTGTGTCTGCGACGCGGGCACCATCACATGCAGAATATGTGGCACACGTTTCTTTGACTCTGGCTGGTGGGGCCACTGACCATGAGGATGACGACGAAAACACAGAGGAGGACTCACGCTTCAAAGAGTGGGAAGGTGGGCGGTGGCCCGATGGCAACAACGCGAAAGACACGGAAGGGAACAACGATGAACAACGGTCCCGCGACGGCACACACGATGAAGAGGGAAGCTTGGAGGATGACTTGGCCGAAGGCGATGGTAGTGAAGGCCAAGAGGATGGTGGTCACTAAGGCGATGGGAGTGAAGGAGAAGAAAATGGGTATGCGAGTGACGAGGACGCCGCAGAACGGGAAGACAGCTACATAGGGGGGAGCGAAGGAGATGAGGGTGGGGCGGACGACGACGACGACGGGAATAGAGGGTCGCAGAAAAGGCGGGAACAGTCTTTTATGCCACAAGTCATGATGGTCCGGCAGAAGATGACGATGTGTTGCATGGCACACATAGGTCTGTGTGCATGCGCAAGAGGAAAATGAGATGTGAGAAACCAGAGGAAGAGAAGCGGAGACAAGCTAAGCTCATCAGCCTACACGCCTCAAAGAAGGCTTACAAGAGATCCTTGGAGGCCCAATCCGCTGAACCAGCAAAGGAAAAGTGTGAACGAACTCGATCTTCCCAGAGACTGAAGAAGAAAGCAAAGGCCGAGGAGACAAAGGAAGTGGCAGACTCTGGGGACGAAGCAGCGGGGGTCGACCCGAGAGATACAGCGTCGAAGCCTGGAGAGTTGACCAACGACACTATCGACACCACGAGATGTTTTTTCCTGGAATACGACGGGGAAGACAATGCGATAGATCGTCCTACCCAAGTGTTCGTTGACGTGGTCAAAATACTGCCCAACCCTTCGGAAGGCGTGCAATACAACCACAGGCCGTTGAACGAGATGTTAATCACCTCCATCAGGGACGCAATGGAACACCCGGAAAAGCAGAAGGAGTGGGACAGAAACACGTGGATTCTTGCTCCTGTCGTTGAAGTGCAGAAGGATGGCCGGAAGCAGTGGGAACATGTGAAGCCGGAGGAGTGGGATGATGACAAGGCTGCCTCCTACCATTGGTACACCGTGGGCGGACAACATGCAACGGAGGCAGCAAAGAGGCTGGTCGCTGCAAAATCGTCTGCTGCCCACAAGTGGGGCGTGCATTCTTGGAAGGCGCGGGTTGTGTATTTTGACGACGACCATTTGGAGGGGTATGCGTACATCCCCACGTTTGACAACACCAGGGAGACATGTGCTATCCCGTCGTCGTTTCGAATGGTTGTGACTGCTATAAGAGGAATGTGGCAGAGTATAAAAGAGTCAAAAGGTGATTGGCATCAGGCAAAGATGGTGGAAGAGAGGACTGCACAGCGTGACCAATATCAGGAGTTCGTATGGAAAGCTATATGGATGACTCCTAACACATCGCTCTGGAACCAGTCGTTGGCGAAAAAATTTGTGAGGAATTGGTCAAACCTTTTGAGGCCCTACATGTGTCTTGCGGCGAGCGGCAGGGTTGTGTGGAATCAGGTTGAGAAGTTATTTGACAAATGAGAAAAAAGCGAACTGTCAGGGCAGCACGGCGTGAGGCGAGTGGATCAGGAAGGGAAAGCAGGCGAGGCGGCAGGACCGGGCCCTGCAGCGAAGACGGTGAAAGGCAAGAAAGTGTTGGTGCACTACGCCCAGTCCAACAAAAGCTCGCCGGGTTTCTATGTTTGCATCAATGATCCCCCCGTGAGCGCATGGAAGGTGTTCGGCGATTTAACATCAAGGAAGAAGGAGATGGCCCTCGAGAAAATACTTGTGGGAAACGTTGTCGTCACGAGCAGGAGGGCATGTGAAAAAACTGATGAACATGCAAGACCTGTACGTGGAGGTGAGAAGGGGGAGATATATGGTTCGCATGTTTAACTATGTCCTCTTCAAGATAGAGCAGAGGTCGGAGGAGGAGTGGAATGACAAGTTCTTCATTGGCTACGATACCATAATGAGGCGGTTTGCACCACGAGGGTTGACGACAGAGAAATGGGAAGAAACCAAGTCCAAGATCGTAGCAGATAATACTATCAATGTCCCGAAACGATTGGGCGGCGTGGATGAGGCGAAACTAGGGAAAAGGAATGTCGGGGGCCACAAGGTGACGACTGCAATGTATATGGAGTGTCCGTACTTCCTCAAGTTTTTCGTGCATGAGATTCTTGGTGCAGTTGACCAATTGAGGGACGAGCTGAGACGGATCAACTCAAATGCTCAGCAGATAATGTGAGACAAGCGCAAAGATCACACGACGTATCTTCCTGTCTGCATCACACCTATGGACGCACTGCACCCGGCAAAAGATTTGACTCGTGCCGTGAGAAAGCTGAGCTGTCACCTTGCAGTATTGGACTTGGCTCCGTCGAAGAATCTCGACGCATGGAACGACCAAAGGTTTCACGAGCTCCGCCAAATGATGACGGTGTTGTGCGGGTCGCATTGGGCGCTAATCGTATTCAGAGCATTGAAAGTCGAGGAAACGGTGTTGAGGAACGTCTTCAGGTGGAACGGTGTGAGAATTCTTCTAAGGCACTGGCGTCGTTATAGCGAAGCAGCATCATCCTGTGCCCAAGTTGGGAACCTTCCGTTGAGAGGGTGTGACTCCATGACCATAGTGTTGCATGATACAGAGAACGACTTCAAAAAGGTCACGGTCGCAAAGCCTCGCGGGAACACTCTCTTCGACACACATTACGTGGAGGAGTTATTTGTACGATGTACAAAAGAGGTAATCGGCGTGCGAGGCGATAGCAAACCTGTGTACGGGATATGAGAGAGAGAACCTGCAAAGATGAAAGACTTGTGCACCTGGTGTTCGAAGGAAGGGGAAGGTGTCATGTTGATGGGTGTCGCATGCGATGGTTCCTCAAACCTAATGGAGTACTCCACTTTGTTCATCGATCATCACGTCAACAATCCAGATAATAGGTGTCACTTTGAATGACCCAGACCTCAACATCGTGCAGACCGAGACATGTTTATGAAGCTCGGCAAGAAGAGAGACGTTTTGTGGAGCTATCTGTTCTGCAATGCACCCGCAACACCAACAGATGCAGATTATCTGCACCGTAAGGTGATAGCGATCCAACATCTGCAAGGATATCACAACGCCAAACGAGGTGCAATTGAGATATTTTTGGTGCGATGTGAGCACCTATGGTTTGAAAGGAAGCGAGACAAACTTGATGTCAAGGTTTACTGCGAGGAAATGGATGTTGGGGAGCAGTTTGACATTATGGACAGTGAGGAGGAAACGGAGGATGAGGAGATTGACCTGCCATTGTCGGGTGCGCATCACAATGCAGTGAGAGAGGAAACACCTTCGTTGTCCGCTTTGGGTGGTCAACAAGCGATGGAGGAAGATGTTGGCGGCAATATCGCGAGTACCAGGACCGAAAATGTGATGCGCGAAACAACGCCGAACACAGGTGGTGCAATGGAAGGCAGCACATCCAAGTGCGGCATGAAGGAAGCAACCACAGGATTCGTTTCGCTGGTGAGGATAGTTCGCAATGACATAGAAGGAGCAACGGACGACGAGACTCAAAATGTTTCGCATGCAGACAAGGAATCAGAGGACGGCCCAGATGGGATAGACATAGAGGATGATCACCTCTTTCACATCCCGAACGACGCCCCCAAACAACTTGCACTGGGTGATAGCATATCATATGACATGAAGGAGATGAAAGGAGGACCTCACTTTCTAGACATGAAGTACAAAGAGTCACATGAACACGAGTGGGGGCATCACATCGTATGGCATCCAGGTCTTTTCGAGCCTTCTGTGATTGATGGCAGATGACACATAGCTATCCGAATGGGTGGGAAATGGGTATTCAGGGAAAGAGTCATCAGGAGCAGGTTTTATGAAATAGCGAAGGACAACTTGTCTACCTGCGTGAAGCAGGCGAACAAAGATGCGCCAGACCACAAAATATCAGACAAAGTGAACTCGTTGTTCGAATTCCTGCGTGAAAATCACCTTCTCGAGTATTGCGCTGCGTTCTACGACAAGAAATCGAGTCCGTCTTATGGAGTTGCCATCTGGTCTGTGGACTACCGTGCAACGGACTGTATGTTCGACAGCGACATACTTCTGGGATGCAGTCAAGGCCTTGAGGGACACACGGGTGCAAGGAAGAAGATCGATTCAACAGCAGCAGCAGGTGGTGGCGAGAGTGTGGCAGACAAGGAAGGGCATATCAGGATGCAAAACACAAATGGAGATGAGTTCGCAGAGCAGCCATCAAGCACACCGCAACCAACACTTGGACCGTCAGAAGGCATCAGTGCAGTAGGAGTCAGAAGTGAGACAACACCAACAGCAGGCGGGGAAGTTGCACACGTGCATGGCGACGACGGGAAGGACGAAAAGATTGAAGAGGACCAGGGACAAAAAGCATCAGACGAAGAAGGGTCAAAATTTCAGGCACATGAGGGAGTGGAGGCGGTGGCAAGGAATGTCGATTCGCATTCCAAGCAGTCGCATACGACTGTCATCACTTCACATGCGCAAGGCACCGACGAAGCTACCAGGGAGCAAAGTGCGCATGAGAAAGAAGAGGGGAAAGGACCAGTGCATATGGAATGCACTGGTCCAGGAACGTAAATAGTTTCGGAGTCAACAATCGCAGAAATGAGAGATGATTTGGAGGGTGTCAGTGCGGCAGAGCATGAAAAGGTTCCAAGCACGGCAAACAGGGAGAGGGGGGAGGAAAATGAGAAAGAAGAGGAGGCGGACAAGAGTCGGAGTGTGATCAACTTGGTGGACCAGTCAAGTGAGAACGAAGAAACATCTGACAAGAAAGAAGCGAAAAAGTCGGGAGAGGAGTTTCAAGAAAGAGAGCGTGATTTGAGCGAAGGGAGTGAGGGAATATGCGGTAGAAAAAGAAAAGCAGGCAAGGAAAAAGAGGAATGCACAATGCGACGTTCAAAAAGAGGCAGGGAGAAGAAAGCACATTGCAACGTGTAGTGCATGTGTG